TGTAGCATGTATCAGAATTTCATTTTCTTAAAGACTTTTACCATTTTTTAAGACTAATACTCTTCCAGTGTACATATATGCCACATTTTGTTTATCCATTCATCTGTCCATGGATATTGGGATGTTTACAGCTTTTAGCGACTGTGTCTGATGCTACTTTGAACATTGGTATATAAATATCTCTTGGAGACCCTACTTTCAATTATACTGGGCGCATATCCAGAAGTGGAATTGCAGGATTATATGATAATCCTATGTTTAATAAGAGGCTAGTTTTGAAGCCTGATCTGGATTCAGTTTTAGCCCCGACCCCTAGCAGACATGTAACTTTGAGGCCATATAGGACAGTGGTTACAAGAATGAGGTCAAGGTTGACTCTTTAGGTCCAGGTGCTGGCTTCACTGCTGCCTGGCCATCACTCAACCTCCCTGTGCCTCAGTGTGCTCATCTGTAAAATAGGAGAACAAATGTCTTTATCTCATAGGGTTCTTGTGAAGATTATCTATTACTATCGATTTGTTTCTTGTTACATCTAAAATAATGACTTACAAACAGCTTCAGGGGTTCAACGAAACCCTCAATATTACATGTAAATTTTTCTGTACAAGTGTATTTTTACCTTTTTTTGAAGAGTTATAGGATTTATTTTTTCCTATTCTTAATCAGACTCCCAGTGTAGGCCCTGATCTACCAAAGGGGGAGAACCACTACCCTAAAAACAGATAGTGGCTTAGAATATAATACCAGGCCTTATAAATGTGAGCTTGATCAAACAGGTTTGTGAAATGTCCCATGATGTTTTTGGCATGAGACAGTCTGTGTGTTACCTTTCCTCTCCTGGCTAAATTCCAGCCATGGAAATCCCCTTAAGAATCTCCCTTTCTGTTCCCAGCTATTATAATGTTGTTACAAATGGCTAAATTTATTTTAAAAATCCTCAATTCCATTTATAGAGTAAGATATTCAACTGATACAAACATACCAAAATGTGTGTGTGTGTGTGTAAAAATTACTCTGGCCTAACTTCGACTTTGGATAACCATTTCTTAGGGCTTAATTTAATAAAGTAGCCCACAGCTTAATGTCATATTCCAATTTTCTTATTGTTCAGTTCCTTAAGTATCATAATTATAATGTAAGGGGCCTTGGAGGAAGACCCACAAGATGCATCACAGCAAGAAATTACCGTGACGGTAAAGCAAGGTCCATGTAGGCAGCAAGAAAGCAACTCTGTTCAAAGGATAAAACTGCAATGGAAGCCCTTCTGGCATAATTAGCAAAGGGTTTTTTTAGAGATTCTCCATTGATGTGGTATGGCTGAATCTCCCTTAATGGTAATTATTCCTTAGATTTGCATACTACTTTTAACATTGCAATGAACATTCGCAGGCTCCATCACAGAATCAGTGTGGGCTTCCCCGGGGGCCTGCTGGTGCTCACGGCTTTGCCTCCCATGGGCGGGACAGCTTGGAAGCCCGCTGTGTCGGCATGCCAGGCTCTAACCAGAAGCAGAGTTGATTTAATCTCCTTTCCTTTTGAAAAACGGAAAAACAATAAGTTTTCAAAGTAAATTAAATTCCCCCATAATTCTGCCACAAAACTGCTACTATTTTTATCTACGAGAAATGTTTGTATGTTGCCTTCATTTTTGCTCACAAGTACACCTATTTTATGTCATTGGAATCACAGTTTGCAAACATTTCTGCATTCTTCTTTTGCCACTTATGACAGGCATTTCATTTTAACCAGTAGGAAAGAATATCTATTAATTTGTCATGTTGCAAAGCAACTGTTTATTGCAAAAGTCTGAACTGGTTTTGATTACTGGTGGTGATTAACACCGTGGATGAAAAGCCGGTGGGCACAACATGTAGCCTCTAGACAACCTGAGACTGCTACAAGGCACTCAAAAATCTTATTTAACTTAAATGGGTGTGTTAAGTGTGATTATTTTTCAGTACTTTCAAGCCCTAAATAACCAAACATCAACATTATTAAAAACAATTTATTGAGTGTATCCTAGATTTAGATTTTGTCCTAGTTACTAAGTATAAGAAATGAATTAAACATTAATTAGCTCTCTCCGTGTTTCTTTTCTACTAAGATGAACCACAATAAACAAGGATTTTCATATCATAGAAGCAGCATGTGGAACTCTCATCATGGGAGGGAAACAGGTAAAAATATAATGTGATTTCCCCCTAAAACTTTTCTCAATTTTGGGAGACTTTTTCAGTCCTCTTTCATGTTTTTTTTAAATTGCATTTTAAACAAAGTAGATGTTTTAGTCCATTTTGTGTTGTTGTAACAAAATTACCTAAGACTGGGTGATTTATAAAGAAGAGAGGTTTATTTGGCTTATGATTCTCGGACAGCTGCATCTAGCATGGGCCTCAGGCTGCTTCTACTCATGGTGGAAAGTGGCAGGGAGCTGGCGGGGACAAGCAGATCACATGACAAGAGGAAGCAAGAGAACGGAAGCAAGAGAGAGAGAGGAGGTGCCAGGGTATTTTTAAACAACCAGTTCTCGCAGGAACTAACAGAGCAAGAACTCACTCATTAATCCCCCCTCCCTCAGGGAGAGCATTAATCCATTCATAAGGGATCCGCCCCCATGACTCAAATCAGTTTTCAACACGGCCACATTGGGGATCAAATTTCCACGTGAGTTTTGGAGGGGAAAACACATCCAAACTCCATCAGTAGATATTGTATATATTTGTGGTAGGGGTAACTTCTAGCACCAATGAAGCATGGGCAGTAATATTCTATTGGGTTATGGCCTTGATTTCAAGTTAATTTCTTCAAAGTAACTAATAGATTTTTCAACAAGAAGAGGGCACTCTGGCTGCCAGTATCCATTTCTGATCCCATAACATCAGTATTTAAAAAAAGAAGCCTGCAGTTTTCTTACAGAGAAACACTTCACACATTTCCAAGCAAATGTGAAGGAAAATATGCCTTTAAGCCTTCTGAGGGTCTGAAGGCCATGCCTTGAAAGAGGGTTTGGCCGTTGAGAAAGCATTCAGTGGTTTTCAATATCACCACTGTCAACTACCCTCCCAGATGCAGTGTAATTTGGTGCAGGTCCATGACTGCAATGTCTTGATGCATGTGCAACAGCTTGTAGTCAGCGGGAGGTCCGTGGGAGGTTTGAGGGGTCCAACTGCTGGAGCAGGGTGGTTCAAGGTCAGTGCCTCTCTACTTGAGGTGAAATTAGGTTAAAATGAATGCCCTGGGGCTGCCCTTAAGAGAAAAGTGATCAGAGAAGAGAATTCCATAGGTGCATATGGAAGAGGCAAAGGATGGATGTGGTTATTCCTAGTTGCGCTGGCCGTGGTGGGGTTACTATGGGGAGGGAGAAAGTGCAAGCCTGTTGAAATGGAGCTACGTATGGGAAGAGTGCTTGCATATCAGCCACATATACATATCATAACATATGTATATATATTTTAAAACACTAACTACAGCATCTCTCCTCTACTCCAGATCACTTCCTATAACTATGACATAAGTTCTCACGTGGGTGAACACCCTGCATCCATACCTTAAGGAGGGCTCTGAACTTAAGTAGTCCGCTACAGATCCAGATTTTGTTGTATTGAAAAGCAATGATGAACCAGGAATACGGTAATAAGAAGTGCTTCTGCTCACTTACCTTCTCCAGTGCAGCTTGAACAACTGCTTCACTTTCTGTATCTAGGGCAGATGTAGCCTCATCTAAGATCAGATCTTGGGGTTTCGAACTAAAGCTCGAGCAATTGTGATTCTCTGTTTCTGCCCTCCACTTATTTGAGCTCCTTTTTCTCCCACCAATGTATTAAATTTCTAATGAAAAAACAGGGGGGAAAAAGCACAGAAACAGAAGGCAGCATGATTCAAGTCATTAGAACAGGAAATGAAACACAATCACAGTTACCAGCTTAACTGCTACTTCAGCCTGGGTGTTTATTTATGATTTTTGAGTTTTTCTTTTATTTAATTCAGAATATTTTAACATTTACTTGTACATATTTGTGGGGTACAGTGTGTTGTTTCAATAAATGCATATACTGCACAATGATTCACTTAGGGTAGATAGCATTGTTTTGTACCCATTAGTACACTACTTTTGATTTGTTCTTTGTAAAAACGATGACTGAAAACAAAAGCCTAGTGAAGAGAGGACTTAAAAATTTGGGCTAAAAAAAATAGGACTTAAAGAAATTAGAACATGTGACCATCAAGGATTTCTAGAAAAGTTAATAATAATTTGAACTAATTTTCAAATCTTTT